AACTATCACGGTAGTTGTTATACCCTATAGTTATATCCTAACTATCATGGTACAAGGACGGTCACGCAAAGAGCCTGCAGAAGTTTGGAAAAGCAGAAGGAGCAGCACGAGGAATGGTATCTTTCAGGGAGGGAAAGCAGCTCAGAAAGGCAGCGTGGCCATTAAGCCAGAAAGCAAAATGACTTTTGCTAAAGAAAAAAAAAAATCCAACAATGGGACCAGCTCAGGGGCTCGTTTCTCATCTCAGATGCAGGCAGCTGCTTTGTCCCAGCCGGGAGGGTGGCTTTCCTAGACTGATTTCTCGGGCAGCTTTATAAACCCTCAATGACAGACTCCCCAGCAAAAAAGAAGCACGTTAGTCAAGACCACAGCAAGGTAGAAGTGAAATGCTGACATCTCTGAGAGACAGGAAGGAGAGAGGGAGAAGGAAACAGCTGGCAAGACTCATCCCCGGGCCAGGCTGGCTGATGAAAAGCACCCCCAAGCAGCAAAGTCGAGCCCTCCGGTAGTACCCCCCAGCCCTCCTGCCCTGTGCGCTCCACTTCTCCTATGTCAGGAGGCATTGCTAACCTTTCAGGATCTTCTTTCCTTTCAGGACACAGAAGGTCAGCTGGGCTTCTTACTTTTCGAGGAGCGAGACGGCTCTCCAAACCTCAAGTTTTCTCCTGGGTTACCTGAGCTTGTCAGGGGTAATTAGAACCAAGCTTCCTGCCCGCCCGAGAGAGCTGCCAAATCCCAAACTTCCATTCCTACAGTCTACAGAAGAGGGCCCACCTGCTTTCCTGGACTCCTGCTCATTAAAAAAAGACAAGGTCTAGTTTATTAGGGGCTCACCAGAGGCTAGAAAAGATCTTGCGCATGGGTTTTTTTTTCCCATTAGGGGAGTGTCACGGCTGAACGTCAGAAGCGATTGGTGAAAGAGACGGGTCCCCCAAGAGTGAAGAATTTTGTAGCAGCAAATCCATTAGTCCTATTAGGGCATTTTCATCTTGGTAAACAGAGGCTAAATTATTCAGCAGCCTCTGCTTTACTAAAAGCCTGTGAATGTGCAGTTTCATGGTGCACCCTGGCATAGCTTGCCCAGAATAAGGTAAAGAAAAGTCCTAGATGAGAGCACAGCTCTGCCTGTTTCAGGGGAACAAGGCATGGATTGCTCTCAGCACCCAAAGGATGTACTTTGGTGTGGGTAAGCAGTGATGAGTACAGATTGTACGCCATCCTCCTTGTCATGCTGTTAACTCAGACGATGAGCCTACATCCTCCTCAGGTCTGGTCAGTTCCACCTGCCCACGGGGACCAGCCCTGGAGAACAGGTGCTGAATAAAGCCTGAAGAGGGTTCTTGGCAGGCAAGCAGGTCAGCAGCATCCCCCACCCCCAGCGGCTATTATATTAATAACAGGTACTTCTACAGCGCTTCAGAGAGAAGCAAAATAGCACAGTGGACAGAGAGCCATCCTGGGGAGTCAGGGAGACCTGGTTTCAGGTACATGCTAGTTGTGTGACCCCAGGCAAGGCCCTTAACCTCTTGGTACCATGAGGTAAGTCTATGAGATTGTAAGTTACAGACAGGTTGCTTATTAGCATTGGCAGAAGGAGTTCCCACACTGGAAGTTCCCCTGCACAGATGAACTCACAAGGCCAGATACATTACCTCTCTCCTTCCCCTTTCCCATTCAGGCTATCCCAAAAGTCTCAGGGCAGCTTTATACTATTAATGCTTATTTTAAGCTATTAACTAATAACTTATTCAAGCTATCAAGGCTTAAAGCTGCAGCGAGGTTTTGGAGGCAGCCTGCACACACTATAATGCTCTAGGGTTTACGAGGTCCCTTACATACTCATACATGACTTGCTTAAGAATCACAAAAGCCCTGAGGTAGGCACCACTGGTATGATTATTATCAACACTTTACAGATGAGGAAACTGAGGCACGGAAAGACTAAATGACTTATCTAGGGTCACATAGCTAGTTTGTGCCTGGGGTAGGAGTCAAACCTGTTTTCTTGACTTTAAGCAAGCCCTCCATCCACTATACCAGACTGCCTCAAATGCAGGGGGTTCTCAACCATTTTCATGTCATGGATAGAAGGACCCCTTCTTAGGATCACATTTTTAATTGCAAAAGCCCCCCCTCCCAAATACATAGGGTCACAAGGAAACCAATTATTTTGAAACATTAAAAATGTTAAGAAAATATTTTTAAAATGTCAAAAAAAAAGGTTTTGGTTCCTGATCTCATGGTATCTGATAATATTACTAAGTGACATCTCTAAGGCACTATCTCCTTCATAGGATATCTGAATATGGGGCTGGGTCTTTTGACCGTCTAGCCCAATGGTCCCCAACCTTTGTGGTGGTCACGGACAAAAGATTTCACCTGAATTCTAGAAACAGAGACACTAGTCCACAGGGACTTGGGGACGTGGGCCAAATCTACAGTGATAGGGCTTCAGAGAGGGAGAAACTCTAGAAAAAATGGAAAATCCAGCAAGAAATGCTGGTACTACTGCTTCAGGTTTCTGATGCTAATAAAGAGTAAGACTCCTTAGTGGCTCCACCTGCTGGTGAATGAGCCAAAAGCCATTAGTATCATTTTATTGTTTAGCGTCTTCTCAGTTGTGTCTGACTCTTTGTGACCCCATTTGGGGTTTTCTTGGCAAAGATACCAGAGTGGTTTGCCATTTCCTTCTCCAGCTCATTTTGCAGGTGAGGAAACTGAGGCAAACAGGGTGAAGTGACATACCCAGGATCACACAGCTAGGAAGTGCCTGAGGCCAGATTTGAACTCAGGAAAATGAGTCTTCCTGATTCTAAGCCCAGGGCTGTGTGCACTATGGCGTCACCGAGTGGTCCCTATTAGTATCACTAGTGATTCTGATCATCTCCACTCTCCTTACAATGCTCTTGGGTTTTCAGAGCACATTCCCCAGCACCACCTCACTGGAACTTTGCCATGAAGTAGGAAAGGGTGCAAGGCGGGCTGGTCGTTCAACCCCCATTTTGACAAATGAGAAAACTGAGGCTCAAAGTGATTAAAAGACAAAGATTTGCCGAAGGCCACACAGCTAGTTACACAGTCATGGAATTTTGTATCTGGGCATCAGATCTAACTTCCTGGCTCTACTGAGGAAATGCAGCCTGGAGAGGGGAAATGATTCATGGGCTCATTGGTGGAGAGCTGGAAGGAGCCTCCTCAGTGGCCTTCTTCTTGGCTCTCTCCACATGGGGCTTTCTCTCTATGTGAACCTTAGATTCTATCCACAGAACACCCTGGGTTCTGAGAGGCCAACTTTGGCCTAATCTGAACCCAACTCATGCCTCTACTCACATCCAGACTATTTCCATGCCAGGTGTACCTTTACTCCCCACCTTTCTCCTTTGTATGTTATCTTCCCCCAGTAGAGTGTAAGCTTTTTGAGGGCAAGACCTGTCATACTTGTCATTTCCTATGCAGCTCATTTTACAGATGAAGAAACTGAGGCAAACAGGGTGAAGTGACTTGCTCAGGGTCATACTTGTTTGTACTTGTATCCCTTGTGCTTTGTACACAGTAAGTGTTAAATAAATGTTCAAGTCTCTCTTTTTACAGATGAGGCACCAGACTCTGGGGAGTTAAGAGTTAAGTGATTTGGCCAAAGTCACATAGGTAGGATCTGAACCCAGGTCCCCTACCTCTAGGTCCAATGTTCTGTTCATGATACCACACTACTAGTCAAAGGTCAAGTACCAGTCAGTAGCAGTGACAGAGTCAGGACTGGGTCTTGGGTCTTCAGACTCCTCCCTCCCTGATGTGCTGTGTTAATTATCAGCAGCTTCTGCTTTCCTCCAAGCCTATGACTCTGTAGGCTCACTGTGTGCCCTGGCCAGCTTGCCCCAAATGCCAAAACCAGGAACTTCCCCCCTCCCAGGACCAGGTTCAAAATGTCCCATGGTTGTTGGTGTGGGGAGGCAGACAGGATGACTTTCCTCCACACCTGGACCTCTGCAGCTCAGCAGTCACATACAGCCTCAGAGAGTTGCTTGGGGGTGCTGGGAGTTTAAGTATATTGTCCAAGGTTGTAGCTGGGATGTCCCTTGTGCCAAGGTCAGTCATCCTGCTCTCAAGGCTGGCTCTCCATCCACTAAGAATCTTGTGACATTTCCCTGGCTCTGCTCAAGGTAATGTTTTATAACACTGACAGTTAATTTTTTCCCTGGTCTGGTTCCTGGCATACTTTTATTTTTCACACAGGTTGTGGGCCTTTTCTTTATGAAAAATGAAGGGATGCCAGGAAACTCACCAGTGTTAAACCTCTGGGAGGATACTTGCATGGGGAGGGAATTTCAAAAAGTCCCCTCTCTGGGCTTGGGGTCTGGAGGGCCTGCCTCTATCACTAGCTAGTGTTTTTATAGAGCTTTAAGGTTTGTGAAGCACTCTACATATGTTATTTCATTTAATCTAGCTGTGTGACCCTGGGCAAGTCACAACCTATGTCAGCCTCAGTTTCCTGCAAAATGTAAATTTAAAAATGTTCAGCAAAATGAGGTGGTTGGACTCAGTGACCTCTAAGACTCCTTCCATCTCTACATCTGCGATCATAATCCTGGGGTCCTTGGATTCACGGCAGCCCCCAAACTCTGAGGGTTCAGAGGATGGCCCGAGACTTACTGCGGAATAGCTACTTGGTCTCTGAGAATCCCACCAGGACATTTACTCGTTAACGGGGACCATTCGCACAGGCAGAAGGCTCTCAGAAATCAACCAGCCATGAGATCACACCAAAGAATCCACATTCCAGTGGAAACTCTTCAGGGCCCTACCAGAAACCTGCAGGGCCATCATATCTCATGATGATGACGTCATGCCATCTACCCAGTGTCGGTCCCGCCCACCCCTCTCCCTGACCTGCGACTGTTTACTAGCTTAGGAGAAAATAAAGGTCTCTGTTACCTGTAAAACTGGAGCTGCCTTTTGGGACTCCCGTATCGAGTACTTCCGATAGCAAAAGAAAGGAAGAGAGAGAGAGAGAGAGAGAGAGAGAGAGAGAGACAGTCCACAATGGACATTAACAACCAAGGAGTGTCAAGCACAGAAACTATTCCCACTATCACCATCATCACACAGGGCTCTCCTCTCTCTGCCACTGACAGGAATGTCTCTTTCAATGTCCACCGTGTTTCTCTTTGGGAAGACAACTCAGTTGGCCGTGATAATTTCTACAAGAGCTCCACCCAGTGTCAGATGGAATTAGAGGCTTGCTATGGGGTTCTGCATCTGTCGCTAGTGCTTGCCTGCCTGGTATTACTAAAAGGCACACACTTTTGCCAGCGAATAAGAAATTTATCCCTGGTATACTCGTTTTTTTAATGCAAAATGCATTTTGAACAGACTGAATGCTATAGTTGGGAGAAGGGAGGGGAAAACTCCCCAATCAATGCTTAAGTCTGTACAGTGGAAAACAAAACAGAACAGAACAGAACAGAACAAAATACAAATCTGTATTTCTTTTTGGTGTTCCGAGGGAAAAAATGGGGTTTTCCAGGTTAAATGGGGAGGAGACTTCCTTTGGCATGAAAATGCTCAGAAGCTTCTATCAGGTTTGGACAACTGAAGGACTGGACAAGGGCGTTGATTTTAGGGTCTTTTGCTATTTTGATGGGATCTTGCTCTCATCCCTGTGGGCTTCCTTTCTCCTGCGACAGCCTGCCACCCACCCATAGTTTCTAACCCCGGGTGATTCTTCCCCACGGGAGCCTATAATTCATCTACAGAGGATCTACCTGCATGCTGGAGACTTTCTTTCTAGGTCTTTTAACACTCCATGGGTATCAGAGCAGCCTTCAAGTGATATTGGTTCAATTCTTCCAGTAGAATATCAGTTAGTTGGCCAATGGGTGAAGACCTCACATTTAGGGAACCAGCTGTTAAATTAATACTTAAAGGTGGTCTAAAAACAGTGGTTCTTAGTAACTTCTGCCTCACTTTCTGCCCCTATGTCACCATTACGGTTAAAGGCACCAGGGGCCATTTTGTGTTTCCTTTGTTTCCTGGATTGTCATGGCCAAAGAATGAATTCATTATTTAGTGACCACCTTGATGGTGGCTGAGCCTCTCAACCCTTAGTTGGGCCAGTGCTCAGACAGCAGACACAGTCTCCTGGGCCCATTCTTGAAGCCTTCCAGCATGGTAGAACCAGACTGAGTTTATAGTCTGCTGGCCTTTGGGAACCCAGGGCCACCTCTATGCCACAGTGAGGCCTCAGAGGAGGACTTGGGCAGAGGCACTTGAGAAAAAACATTTAAAACATTTCCTGTTTTAGTTTCAACATTTTTTTTTAAAAGAAAGAGAAAATCAAATTCTAAATCTGAGAGTGGCCCCATAATAAGGCGGTCAAGGAAATTAGGACAAGCTTCTAAGCTCCACATTTCACACGGGTTATCTTTCCACATTTCCTAAGGGCAGCAGGAAAGATGAAGGCCCATTGGGCCATTATGTGTTAATGGTAGAAAAAAAGAAAAGTAGAATGGACCAATTCTCTGACCACATGAAAAGTCTATGGTCCCAAGTAGATCATTTGAAAGGAGAAAAATGGGGAATGCACCACCTGATCTCACCTAAAATATTTTTGTTTGTTCCTCCCCTCCCCCTAATTTCCCCTTTGAAAATAAAAGAGAATAGTTCTGCATATTCTTAATCAACATCACAATAAAAAGTGCCTTGTTTGAACTGGAAGTTGGAGGGGTAAGGGAAGGAGGAGTTTGTATTTTAGGGTAGGTGGGACCCCTTTAAGCTTCATGAGGGAAGGGAGGGAGCTATCCAAGAATCACCAGAATGAGAGGGAAAAAGTCACCTGTAAATCATGCCTGGGGAGCCCGTCTGTCGTAGGGAGAGCCGTGCTGGCGAGCCTGTGGTAGATTCTGGATACATGGAGCCAGCCTCAGTTGCCAAGACTTATATTCTTTTTCAACTCTGGAAAAACTCTGGAGGATGAGACAGAGGGAGAGAGAGAAGGAGAGGGAGAGGGAGAGGAAGAGGCGAGGGGGGAGGGAAAGAGAGAGGGGGGGGAGAGAGAGAGAGAGAGAGAGAAATGAGTTATACAGGTGGTCTTTTAGTTTATAAATTTATAAAAACATCAACAAATGGAATGTTCCTTGAGGACAGGACTTTATCCCCCAGCAGCCAGCACAGTACCTGGCACATGCCATTTCCTGTGCAAGACCTCCATCCCAGTCATGCCCATTAACCATGGGTGTTCCCCAAAGTTCTGTCCTGGGTCCTCTTCTCTTGTCCCTCTATACTACTTCAATTGGTGAGCTCATTAACGTCCATAGATTCATTTATGATCTGTAAGCAAATGATTCTCAAATCTATTTATCCGGCCCTAACCTCTCTCTTACTAGGTTTTTTTTTTTTTTTGGTTAGGTAATAGGGTTAAGTGACTTGCTCAGGGTCACACAGCTAGTAAGTGTGAAACATCTGAGGCTGAATTTGAACTCGGGTCCTCCTGACTCCTAGGCCAGTGCTCTATCCACTGTGCCACCTAGCTGTCTCCCACCTAACCTCTCTCTTGACCTCTGGTCTTGCATCTCTAATTCCTTACTGAACATCTTTAACTGTATTTCCTATAGACATCTTAAACTCAACATTTCCAAAACTGTGCTCAGGCATAGTGCGTAGTATGCTATAGGAAGATGTGAGTTCAAATCCAGCCTCAGACACTTACTAGCTGTGTGACCCTGAGCAAGTCACTTAACCCATGTGCGCCTCAGTTTGTTGATGTTGTTATTGTTCAGTCATTTCAGTCATGTCTGACTCTCTGTGACCCCATTTGGGGTTTTCTTGGCAAAGATACTAGAATGGTTCACCATTTGCTTCTCCAGCTCATTTTACAGATGAGGAAACTGAGGCAAACAGAGTGAAGTGACTTGCCCAGGGTCACATAACTAGTAAGTGTCTGAGGATGGATTTGAACTCAAGTCTTCCTGACTCCAGGTCCAGCATTCTATCCACTGTGCCACCTAGCTTGCCTCAGTTTCTCAAATGTAAAATGAGGATAATAATAGCATTTGCCTCACAGGGTTGGTGTAAGGTTCAAATGAGATAATAATTGTAAAGCGCTTGACACATAGTAAGTACTATATAAATGTTAGCTATTAAATTATATATAATTATGATATACATTATAATACATATTATTTTTCATGTTCTATTTATTTCACCACCATCATCATCACCATCATCATCACCATCATCATCATCATCATCTTTCCCCCCAGACCCTCCCATCTTCCTAAGTTCCCTACTTCTCTTGAGGGAACCCCATCCCCCCACTCACCAGGTTCACAACCTAGGTGTCGCTCTTGACTCATTCTAACCTCTCATATCCAACCCTTGCAAGATCTCTTGTATACATCCCTTTGTCTGCTCTTACCTGCAACCACCCTGGCACAAGCTCTCACTACCTCATGCCCGGCCCATTCCTTGGAATTTGATTTCCCTGGTTGGTCACCCTGCCTCAAGTCTCTCTCCACCCATCCCAATCCATCCTCCATTCTGCTATCAAAATGATCTTCCTAAAGTCTGAGCCCATCCACCCTCATCCCTCCACCTCCTCCCATTTAATAAACTGCCAAATCTGATGGCCTTTTCTCAGCGGGCATCCTTCTTGATTTCTCTGTAGACTTTGATACTTATTTCACCCTATACTCCTCAATACTCTCCTCTCTTGTTTTTTGTGAACACTGTCCACTCCTGGCTTTTTTTCCTGCCTGTAAGACCACTCCTTCTCAGTCTCTTCTGCGGATCTTTATTCTGATCATGCTCACCAAAGGTGGGTTCTGCCTCCCACCTCTGCTGGTTCTGTCCTGGGCCTGCTTTTCTTTTCCACCTCTATTTTATCTCACTGTGTGATCTCATTAGCCCCCAAAGTTTCAACTATCCTCTCTACACAAGTAATTCCCGGATCTATATATCCAGTCCCAATCTCTCTCCTGAGCTCCAGTCCTAGGTCACCAAATGCCTTCTGGACCTCTAGAATTGGGATGTCCCATAGGTTTCAGATCTTCTTGACCCCAGGTCCAGCACTCTATCTACTGTGCTACCTAGCTCTCTCTACATACACATATAAGCATATACAAAATGTCGTTCAGTCATTACAGTTATGTCTAACTCTTCATGACCCCATCTGGGGTTTTCTTGGTAAAGACACTGGAGTGGTTTGCCATTTCCTTCTCTGCCTCATTTTACATATGAAGAAACTGAGGCAAACAGGGTGAAGTGACTTGCCTAGGGTCACACAGCCAGTAAGTGCCTGAGGCCAGATTTGGAGGAAAGGTACATATAGTTCAGAACTCATTTGTCCATCAAACTCTCTCTTCTTCTGAATATTCTTTTTACTACCAAGGGCACCACTATCCTCCCAGTCACCCAGGCTGATGACACCCTAGGGATCATCCTTGACTCCTCGACAGTGCTTACCACTTATATTCAATCTGATGCCAAATCTTATCACTTCTGCCTTCATAACACCTCTAATGTATGGCATCTCCTCTCCCCTCATTGGGCTTATACTGCTGCATACCTATCACCTCTCACCTGGGTTACAGTAATAGTTTTCTAATTGGCCTTCCTGCCTCAGTTCATCTTCTACTCAGCTGTCAAGGTGATTTTTCTAGAGTGTATCTCTGACCAAGTTACCCTTGTACTCCATAAACTCCAATGGCGTCCTATTATCTCCAGGATTAAATATCGAAAATCCTCTGTTGGGCATTGAAAGCCCTTTACGTCCTGGCCTCACCCTACCTTTCCAGCTTGAGATGTGAGTATATGGACCCACTTGAGCTCCCTCAGACCTGACACATCATGTCCTGACTCTTGACTGATTGACTGACCTCAGACTTCCTTGACTTCTTTCAAAACTCAGACTAAAGCCTGTCTTCTGTAGGAGGCTTTTCCCCCAGAGATTATTTTACAGGTGCATAGTTATGCATGTTGTCTTTTCCATTAGAATGAGAGCTCCCTGAAGGCAGGACCTGTTTTTGCCTTTCTTTTTCATGCTCAGTAAAGTACCTGGCACATGGTAGGTGCTTAAATAAATGCTTATTGACTTTGACCTCGAAAAAATTTTCCAGCCCTAAATCTATGGTCCTCCTATGTTCTTAGACAGATTCCATGATCTCACCCTGAATTAGCCTGTATTACACACAATGGGATTGGATTGGCTGGTTTCCAGGTGATCCATCTGGGCTAGAAATGCAAAACTATTTGGCCTAGAAATGGTACAAGAGCCTGGACAACCACCTGTAGAGAAAAGAAGGAACCAGGAGTGTTTGGAATTGGGCTGTACAGCATGTTTATGGGAGTCCTGAGGCCTGGGCCTGGAAGACCTGGTTGAAAAACCAGACCCTGACAGCGACTGGCAAGTCGATGAACTTTTTTTGCCTCAGTTTCCTCATCTCTACAATGGGGTTAACGAGTACTTACAGTGTTGGCTTTGCGGGATTGCTGTGAGCCAGGATGAAATGAGACATTGTGTGTCAAGTTCTTGGTAGACAATTAGTGTGAGCTATTACAATGCACACACATTTCTCAGCGCTCTTCAAAGGGCTCTAGGTCTCTTAGTCTTTTAGCAGAACCCTGGTAATGGCACCGTGGCAGACATGGATACTTTCTCTCTCAGTATTTACAACTCAGAAGGCCAGAGGACCACAGTTTAGAATGGGAAAGGACCTCTGAGACGACCTGGTCCAAGCCCCTCATTTGACAGACAAGGAAACTGAGGCCTAGGGAAATGAAGGGACTTGCTTAAGGTCACGCAGTTAATATTAGAGGTAGGATTTGAACCCAGGTCTTCTGACTTCAGAGCTAGTTCTCCTCACTGTCCCCATTGCTTCTCCATGAGTGAGAGATGTTTTTCTGGTGAAATGATAGATAGAAGTGCACCAATGACATGCCAGGCACCATGCTAAGCACTGGAGATATGACGAGAGGGAAAAGACAGTCCCTGCTCTCAGGGGGCTGATAGTCAAATGGGTTCAAATTTTGGATTTCCCGAGCTATAGAAGGAAGGAGTCCTGCAGGCTTGAGGAAAGAATAAGAAAATACATTTCTGGGGCAGCTAGGTGGCGCAGTGGATAGAGCACCAGCCCTGAAGTCAGAAGGACCTGAGTTCAAATCTGGCCTCAGACCAAACACTTGACACTTACTAGCTGTGTGACCCTGGGCAAGTCACTTAACCCCAAAATGCCTGAAAAAAAAGAAAATACATTTCTTTTTGTAAACTTTGGATGAGATGATCAATATTCATGGATGAGGTTCCATTAGAGAATTCTTCCCCGTCTCAGTGAGTTGATAAGCATTTATTAAGTGCCTACTATGTGCCAGGCATTGGGCTAAGCCCTGGACATACAAAAAAATCAAAAGCATGGTCCCAGCCCTCAAGGAGTTCACATTCTAATGAGGGAGACAACGAGGGTCATACAAGATACATGCAGACTAGATTGGATGGCAATATGGGAGGGAAGGCACGAGCGTGTATATGGGGGTAGGGAAGCAGTGGAAGGAAATAAGCATTTATTAAGTGCCTACTATATGCCAGGCATTGTGCTAAGTGGGAAAGGCCTCTAGGAGAACGTGAGGTACAAAGGAAGCCCAGGAACCTAAGAGGTGGGAGATGGTGTCAGGGCACTGCAGGCATGGGGGATACCTAGTGCAAAGTCATGGAGATGGGAGACTGAATGTATTAAAAGCACTTCAGAGTGAATCAAAGACTGGGGAACTGGAAACGGACATAGAAAGTCTGGCTTGCCTCTGTGAAGCTGGGTTGTGTTTTGAATAGCCCCAAGCTTCTCCTAGAAGGAAGTGATGCTCTTTCAAGATTTATTTTTGTTTTTGTGATTGTTGTTATATGCCTCTGAAGTACGGAACATCATAGACTCCAGAGAATTAAACCTTACAGGTGAGAGGTACATGGCAGATGCAA